CATATTATGTGAACTGTTTACAAGTTTTCAAACAAAGGAATCTTAAGTCAGACAGCTAAATGAATCACATTAGAATATGACCTTAAGTGTTATTCACTGGAATTGGAATTTGCATCTGGGTGCATCACTGATGTCCACCAAATGGACTCTTTTCATTTTGTGATGTGCAAATGCAAAGCATAGATGTGAGATATTTCTGATTGTATCTTGTCATGCATTTAGCCAGACTAGGAGGAGTGCAGCATTTGTTTAAATGTTTTTATGCATGTTACAATGCTAAAACAAAACTATAAATATACTATAAACCACACTGTAAAACCCAAAAAAGGTAACTCAAACCATTTAAGTTAAAAACTAATCCTAATGAGTACTTTGAACTTACTCCATTTTAGTAAATGAAGCAATTTGAGCACAGTAAAACCCCATAAATGAAGAGAACTCAAATCAACTGATACTGTAAAAACCAATAAGTTTAGGCAACTCAAACCATTTGAGGAAACCGATTGCTACAAACCATTTGAGTTAAAAACGTATCTATATGAGTACTGTGAACTTACTCCATTTAAGTTGAAGTAATGGGGTATTTCATTAACCCGTTACCTTCAACACTGAGTTCAAAACTCTTTTCAAATAAGTAGAATTAACTTTCAGTCAATTTTGAGTTAACTACACTCATTTCATTTGATGAAGTTGACTGTTGGGTTTTACAGTGCAGTGGTTCCCAAAGTGGGGGTCGCGGAACAATGATGAGGGGTCGCTTGGGGATTTCAAAAACTTAAATAAATTTTATTAAACTATTAGAACTACCATATTTTATTTAAAACCCACAAAAGATAATTAATAGTTATGCTAAAGAAACAACAACAAAAACATACAAATAAAAATCCATCAGTCTTTGAATTTTTTTCAATGTTAATATTAAATTCAATTAATAAATGACTATAAAAATACATAGTTATTAGACTGTTGCATTTTTTGTTGTCAGTATGCTCATGTTTATATATGCCTATAGTTGCCTGTGCAACATTTGTATATTTATAACCACCTTCGAGAAAAATGCGGGTCGCAAGTCACTGACATTGTTATTTTGGGGGTCACGGGCTGAAAAGTTTGGGAGCCCCTGCTATAAACATTAAGACATCCTGTCAATTTATTTGGTCACACTTTATTTTGATGGTCTGTTTGTTGAATTTAAGTTACATTGCATCTACAATGAATTCTCATTAGATTAAGTAGACTGTTAGGGTTGGGGTTAGTGTAAGTTGACATGAACTTGCAAAGTTTCTTATAGTCAGCTGAATGTCTGTTAAAGCAGCAGTATCAACAGACATTAAGCAGACAGTCTACTAATACTCAAATCGACCTTTAAAAATAAAGTGTACCCTACTTATAAATAAAAAAGGGTTTTTAATGACAAATTCAGGAACATTTACATTAAGTACCCTCATAAATTCCATGTTTGGTTACATCCTTCCTAAAACACTTGCACATTCTAGCTTAAATAGTTGAAAGCATTGCAGAATATCCAGTATGAAAACCACCAGCCCTACTCTGTTCCTTCCATATTTGGCTACTTCAATTCAATTGACCGTCAGTAATCATTATATCAAACACACAGACTTGTCTTCAGGCCAACAATATAATATAGTCTCTGTCTGGATTTGTCGCTGCATAATACAATAACATTTCAGCGAAATAAATTATGAAATATACTTGAGCAGTTTCATATTAATGCATATTCAGCTATCCTGCAATACAATTTTCAAAACAAGCCTCTTATTTCTCCATTGTAACTTAGCACAGGAATTATTTATGAGCGTAAGCTGTTAAATAATGGTAAATGCCTAATATTATTTTTTAATATACTGATTTTATAAACAGTAGCAGGTACTGTACTGATTACAGACAAAAAATCAATAGTTTTCTTATATTATTATTTGCTTGTGGATTATTGTTTTGCTTATAGAGCTTATTTACTTATATTATTATTATCATATAGCTTTTAGTTCAACTTAGAGTTCAAGTAAATGTTCGTTATTGTGTGCATTAATGATGCACACATATTTTAGATCATTTATTAATATAATAAATAAAAATAAATGTTGATTTACTTATATTTGACCAAAATATAGCATTGTTAAACAGTATTAAGACTTGCACAGATAAAAAAATAGGAGCTAAACATGGACTGGTTAAACCACTTTTACTTGAAACTCTCTCTCCATTACGTTGCTCAAAATCTACATAAAGCAAGTTCCTATCTGGTAAATATCTTTGGTTAGTCGTCTTCCATCCTCTTAGGTAACAACATTAACGTCTAACCAGTCATAGCTCATGACAAATTACACAACCCCATTAACAGAGGAGCTCTTAGTTATTTGGCTATGAAAGAAAGGTCTAGAAAATCCTACCTGCTCTCCGTTTTCTCCTCTGTGATCTGGCAGCAGGATGAAAGTAAGTCAGACTGAATGCAGGATATCAAGGTGGACGGTGAATGTGATCGACAGTGGACCAAACTCCACCCAACCGCAGGCCTTTAGTTACTCAGTTCCCCTTTTGCTTCCTGCTCATTTTCATACCGTCGCGCATGCAGGGCTGCTGTAAGTGTTAACAGTTTCACACAAAATGCTGATACTCACACATGCTGCATGGAAGTGACCTAATACTGGCAGATTCTGTCTAACCAAAGCTTGCTTTACTTTTTAGGTAAAACTAACTACTAGTTTTGCAACTCGCATATAGCACTATTTATTCATTTAATATATTAATAAAATAGATATTGTATATGAATTGGGTGTGATCTGTGGTAATACTGATAAAAATCATTTAATGAAATGTGAAGGCTTGTTTTTATTAGACACTTGAGTTTTGCACTCATAGCAAACATTTAGGCCAACATATGTAAATAAAGCAATCATTTAGCTAAAGTTCTGGAAGTAGTTTTTTTTTTAATCATATGGGGAAATTACTATTCATGTGTGGTCAAGAATGAACCTACTGACCCATTTTGCAAAAAGAAAAAAAAGAAGCATGTGCCTTCAAAACACACGGTGGTGCTATTTCATAATGTAATCATTTCTCTCTCTTTATATATATATAAAAAAAAAATATGCATTTATTTATTAGTTATATTTCTTCTTTTATTTGTTTTTTTATATTATAAGAAAATATTTTTCGGGCATTTTGCTAACAACATTTCAATGCTATTAAAATGTCAATATTAGATTTAATGTAGTTTTTTAACTAAAGTATGAGCATAATTATGTTTATGTATGATGCATTAACGATTATTAGCTATTAATAGGGCCAGACAGATTTGCAGACGTTTTTTGCTATTTCTTGAGGAGAATTTTGTAAAAAAAAAAAAATATCTGTGGATTTATGCGGATTGATTTTAGGAGTATCATAACTAAAAACCTAATATATGAAATGTTTATTTATTACTTTATATACTTTTGTTTAATATTTACAATTCAAATCCAGATAGATTCAATTGGTAAACAAAGCAAATCTCTTATATAATATCTCTACTAAAAAACAGAAAATATTACTTTACAAACTGTGTTGTGAATAAATCATATAAACAAAATTGACCCTAAAATGTTTTTTAAAAAAAATAAAAACTGCTTTTAATATAGAATAAACAAAAAAAAAAAAAAGATTTTCTCCAGAAGGAGAAATATTATCAGACATACTGTGAAAAATTCCTTGCTCTGTTAAACATCATTTAGGAAATATTAAAAGAAAAAAAGAAGAAAAGAAATCAAAGGGGGCTATTAATTCTGACTTTTTCGATCCAAGACCAGCGGCGAGATGATCCCAAGGTTTCCATATCCTGGACCAGGCCGTATCGTGAGCAGCTGCTGAGGTGGTCATTGAGGAGTGGAGAGCATGAGACTGATTCCTGTGACACTCCAGGGACTGGCGAGTCTTCGCTGAGGTCCAGCTTCCAGCCTCCGGCGCCTTGACTGCAGCTCTACACAAGACGTTTGGCCAGCAGATAAATGGTCGTGCCCATCTGAGCCTGGTTTCTCTCGAGGTTTGTTTTTTCTTTACTTTGCCAATTGGTGAAGTTTTTTCCTTGCCGCTGGCGCCACCGGCTTGCATGGTTCAGGATCTGTAGAGCTGTGCATCGATGGATTTGCTCTTCAGTGTTTGGACTGAATTACCTCACAATGAAATGAGCTAAACTGAACTGAACTTAAACTGAACTACACTGTTTCAATTTACTATGATCTTTTATGTGTAGCTGATTTGACACAATCTACACTGTAAAAGCACTTTGAATTGAAAACTTATAAATATATATACATATGTAAAAAGATTTTTTTTTTGTTCTTCGAGTGCTCCGGTTTCCCCAACAGTCCAAAGACATGCACTATAAGTGGACTGAATAAATTAAATCGGCCGTAGTGATTGTTTGTGAATTAGTGTGTATGGATGTTTCCCAGCTGGAAGGCCATCCACTCTGCAAAAAATGCCAGATAAGTTGGCGGTTCATTCAGCTGTGGCGACCCCTGATGAATAAAGGGACTAAGCTGAAAAAAAATGAATGAATGGGATAGGTATTGCCCTAAAATATCTTTATAGCAGAAAAAGGGATTATTTGTATCTTAAAATTTGCTCTTTTAAGAACTTTTCATTGAATATTTCTTTAAATGGTGCCAAAAATGATGCTTTGACAACACTTTATTTGAAAAGTACCAATGAAACTCACAGAAATGCTTATTTTTTTATTTAATATCAGGTGCATCACATTATTGTGTGAACAAGACCTGAGCTTTCACATGATTTGTAAAATCCCTGAGCTTTCCTTCATGCCTGTTAAAATAAAAAGACATTTTGGCAGTGGAAAGCAGAGCAGATCATGAATTAATGTGATGATGTGTTGAAATGTGATGATATATACATTACTATAAGCAGAATCTTCAGTAAACGAAACATTGGTTAATATAGATCTGCAAAGCATACAGTGCATTTCCCAGAGTTAAAGTGCTTTGTCAGTGTTTTTTGTTTAATAAAATGATCCACAGCTACAATTGTAATCTTTTGATTGCTCTAAGTTCACTTAAAAAATTCAAATAGATTCAAAAGCAGTATTCAAAAAGAAAGACTTCAAGTCATGTAATTCAACAGTATTAGTCCCATTTCTTTGTCTTGGCTCTAGTTCACAGTGGGTTGACGGTGAGTAGTGTTGTGCCTGTAGGGTTGACTTGGACCACCACCTCTGACAAGAGATTTTGGACGCCCATTTCCTTGTAAGTGGGCATGATCTGGGTTACGTTGCATTTCGGGTTACAAAGCTTCCAGCTAGGCATTATTGCCACTGAAATAGTAAATCTGCGCGGACCTCCAATCTCCTGTCTGTTCATCACTGCCACGGCCAGCCTGTTGCCTGACAAGGGCCTTTCCCACAGCTCAAAACTGTCAGCCTGTGAGGGGATTGTAAAACAAATCTCAGAAGTGGTAGACAGATTCAAAAACAAAATCATATAGAATTGATCAACAAACTCAACAGTTCACAACAGGTCTGTCTATAAAGGTTTACTTGACATGAAAGTGATTTTCAGGAGTAACTGATACACTTTTAAAGGCAAGCTTGTTGTTCTTAATCGATTATATGTGCTTTTGATGAATCCATCTGTTTACATTAATTTCAGCTTATTTTGAACCACAGTGTGCCAGGTTTGTCTAAGCTACACAGAGGTCAAAATGTATATCAAACTTTCTATTAAATTAATATATACACATTATAACTCTTTAAGATGACAGATTGTGCTGGTGTTATATAATGCCATTGTTGCTGTTTTAATGAATGAATTGACATCTACTATAATGAAAAACATCTAACATCTATCCATGTACTAAAGGATCAGTAGATATTACAGAGTTATTACAAAAACCCTTTGGGTTATTACTAGAGGTGTGAACCAATACTGGTCTCACGGTTCGGTTCGGTTACGATTATCATGCCATCGATTCGGTTCAATTCGATATCTTGGTGCATCACGGTGCATTGACGATGCTTTCCATATATAGTGTTATATTTTAGGGGGGAGGCTATAAAATGCTGTCTGTATAAACACACAGACACACAGCAACACACTGTCTCTCATTCAAACACATTCACAAACATAGACAGCATCAAACAAACAAACACACACACGCACACACACAAACAAACACACTTAAGCCCTTGCAACAGGGAGAGTTTGCGCTGAGCGGAGCAGAAAAACGAAAAAAAAAACTTAAAAAATAAGCACTTTTCCGACGGTCCCTTACAGAGAGCTCCTCTCAGCCCGAGCTCTGCCGGCTAAAGTAAACGCAGACTGCGAGGGCTTAAACGGAGCAGTGCTCGTAATGTCGAGCGAAAAGAAGAAAGACAACTGTGAAACATAACCAGCTTCGTCTTTCTGTAGGAAACACACTTTAGATCTTTTTAGGGTAAGCGTTTTTTGAGTTATTGCCGTCTATAACTGAAAGTGTGTCAGGAAAATCGAAAACAAAACCAACTAAAGCGCGCTCATTTCTGGCGCCCCACTGGATATACAGCGCCCTAAGCATTTGCCTATGGTGCCTATGCCACGGGCCGGCACTGAGTTGGCTGAGTGTTGTAAATAACGGCGCTCACCTCCCTCGCGACAGAGCGCATAGGAGATAAATGACGTCACTACATAATAACCGGTTATGGTTATTACTGAATCAATACCGAATTGTCCGCGTCTGCATCGCGGTGCACCGAAGAAACAATTAATTTTGACACCCCTAGTTATTACAGTCTTAGAGAAGGCAAATGTCAGAAACAACATTTATTTTAATGCACTATTATTCCATTTCAAATGTACGTTTAATTTATTTAATTTTCTGATTAAGGGTTCATCTTCAAAATGGCACACTATAAACAAAAAATGAACGGCTTCTTGCATAAATGGGTTTCAATGGCACCATTTTGGACCTAAACGTCTTGAAAGGAAAATTTCTGTTGTACCCATGTAGTGTTAAACAGATTTATAAAAGGAAATGACAATGAACTATAAAAATAGAGATAAAAATACATACTTTTGCCAAAACTTACACTGTTTGGATTAACACGGCCAAAATAATCACAAAAATGAAAGGTGCAGTATGTGATTGTCTTCAGAAACATTTTTTGTTGTGCTGGTTAAAAGTCTCTTTACATTCCAAATTTCTAATAGTACTGATTTAAGTAAATAAAAAGTAAAGTTAATATGTATTTTCATTCATCTCCCATAAGAAGCTCAAACTGTCTGTAAGCAAATTCAGATTTGAGCTACTGCGCACTTGTTTATATGTAGGCTCACCGTTTGTGTGTACACGCGCTGCGCGTTCATTAGATAGAGAGTGAAAGAGCGCGAGAGGTAAAAGCAAATGCTGAATCAAAACTTTTTAAAAACCTGAATTAATATTGGAGTTACTTTTGCACGCTGGAGGAAGGATGACACCATGGCTGAAGGATTTCTTTTAGACAGGTAATGTTCTGTTTTAAGGTGATGCAGTCGTGCAGTAGGTAGTCGCCTCAAAGCAAGAAGATCGCTGGTTCGAGCCTCGGCTGGATCAGTTGGCGTTTCCGCATGGGTTTCCTCTGGGTGCTCCGGTTTTCCCCACAGTCCAAAGACATGCAGTACAGGTGAATTGGGTAGGCTAAATTGTCCGTAGGGTATGAGTGTGAATGAGTGTGTGTGGATGTTTCCCAGAGATGGGTTGCAGGCGGAAGGGCATCCGCTGCATAAAACATGTGCTGGATAAGTTGGCAGTTCATTCCGCTGTGGCGCCCCCAGATTAATAAAGGGACTAAGCCGAAAAGAAAATGAATGAATGAATGATCTGTTAAGCTTCACGCAAAGCTTATGTAGATGTTGTTGTTGTTACAAATGGGTTATATATGCACAGAAGTGTTGTTCAGCTACTGCAGTCAGTTTCATAAGGGACCTTTTACAGCATTGTAGATTTGTATTTAGTTTAACAACAAAACATCAGTAATTAGCGCTATTTGGCCTAGCCTGCTTTACTGAGGTGAACTTGGTTTTATATTCACATTGGTCCATTTTTGAACAATAACACCCTGTGAAGCGCTCCCTATATTGTTTACCATGCTACTCTGAATATTTGGTCTGAAACAGCATGCAAGTATGACTTAGTAATACATGTAATTCCTGCATGCCGCAGAACAAGCAGTAGTGGCCATAGCTCAACACATGAGACAGGGTTCTTCTGTAATCTTTAAGATGCGCGCGCTCGTGTTTCAGGAGCCGTGGCTCTGGACAGCAGGGAAGGAATTGTGGTACAGAGAGTTATGCTAACCAGTTAGCATTGTGGAAGATCACCTACTGCACCTTTAAAATGAAAAGGAAAGTGTCTGTAAAGCTTCATTAACATAAATGACTTTGTAGCTGCCCTTCACCCTGGATGGCGAGTGGGCGTTCCCACCTAGAGGTTGCTTAGGTAACATTTATGATGATATTTACTAAAAGAAATGAGCCGAAAATAAACATTGGGGAACTGAGAGTGGATCACATCAGCTGTGATGCTGTGCAGCTCATGATGCTGTGCAGAAATATATGATGTGCACATTTGCAATACAGTAAATATATTTTTTTAAACAGCCGATAACATTCCTTGATTGACTGATATTATTTGATATTGGATAAGGGCAAACCTAGCTAAAGAGATGAAAATTTACTCATAATTTCCTCACACTTAAGTGTTTGCAATTACCTACATGTATATGACTTTTACTTGATGAATTTTAGCAACCAGTAACCATTGATTTCCTAGGTATGAAAAAAACACTATAGAAGTCAATGGTTAAAGGTTTCTGACATTTTTCAAAATATCTTCTTTTGTTTTCTTCAACAGAAGAAAGAAACTCAAACAAGTTTTGATCAAGTGCAGGGTGAGCAAATGATGACAGAATTTTCCATTTTGGGTGAACTGTCCCTTTAAGATTGTAATTTGCTAATGTAATGTATTTTTTATTTAATGCCATGTCAGCAACCAAGGCTATTTTCATGGCAGGAATCTTTCAACAATAAATATACAATTTAAAAACAAAAAAAAAAAAAACAAACATAAATTAAATCAGATTTTTTGTGTTAATACATGATAAAAATTCTAAAATATTTTCTAGTTTCACTTTGTTAAAAATGTCCTTAAAAGAGTTCATTTCATAAAAAAAGTCTCCTGGGATCAGTAAAAGCAGGACAGTCCAGTAAAATGTGTTTTATAGTAAGAGGAGCTTTGCAGCACAAACACTGAGTAGGGTTTTCACCTTGGAGCAAAAAGCCATGTGTTATTCTCGTATGCCCAATACGACATCTGGTAAAAACTACTTAATCAAATCGATTCTTAAAATGTCTTTCTAAAATGAGATTTCAGGTTGGATTTCATGTAATTTATTATTGTCTAATGCATCCCATTCCTTTTGCCTCTTGTTTAAAATGTAAGCGTTGATAAAAGGTTGTAATTTGCTACTAATTTGGGTTGATACAATGTACTTTACCTTCAATATCCGATAGCCCTGTTTGCCCAGAGGGTCCTGGTTGATGGCGATGATCTGCTTGTTCTGCAGTAGTTCTTTGGCTTTGGGACAGATGTCTCGCAGGTCGTTAGACATTAGAAGTGGAGCCGCCATGATTGCCCACAATGCCATCTGAGTCTGCTGCTGATCGCGACTCAAGCCGAAGTTTCCAATGATCAGCTGGAGAAACCACGACCACACATGTGCTATGATTGAAGGCTGAAAATGATGATTGTGATTTGATAGGAACACAATCAGACGAGACGCTTTATACCATGTCAGGGTCATTCCATCCTCCTGGTCCTGCCACTGGGACGACGATCTTCTGCTTTTCTGCTGTCCAGTCCAGGATGCTCTTCACACTGGTCCACTGGTCATACACATCTCCATAATTACGCCAGTGGTTACAGGTCTTGCGAATTGCCTCATAGTCAGGCTGAAATGCAAGAGAGAGAGAGAGAGAGAAGACACAGTAAACCAACATTTGAAACAAAAGAACTGGTATTTTATTTAGAAAAACTTAATATGGAGAGGAAACTTAACATAGTGAACTATATTGTACTTAAACCATAACATAAATCCTTTAAGGGTGTCATGGTGGTGCAGTGGGTAGCACAAATGTGTGTAAATATGAGTGTTTTGGTGTTATGATGGGTTGCAGCTGGAAGGACATTTTCTGTGTAAAACATATGCTGGATAAGTTGGCAGTTCATTCCGCTGTGGCAACCCCTGATTAAAAAAGGGACTAAGCCGAAAAGAAAATGAATGAATGAATGAATGAATGAAATTGACATTCGTAAAATACTTTTAAATGCTGCTATGGTTTGTTGACAGGTGTCCCAAGTTTGTACATTTTGGTTAGTTGCTTCAACTGCTACAAAGAAAATGTTGGTGCAGAGGTGGACACCCCCTCAAGATTGCTCTATTGAGCACTGGTTGCATTCACTATTGGAAATCCTGTATCTGGAACTGTCATCAGCACGGATCAACCATGCTAAACTGGACATTCTGATGGTATGGAAAGTCTATATATGCGATGTCTAAGCAATCTTGGACACCAAACCCTCATCTGAAACTACGAATGTCCAATTTAATGTAATTTATCTAATGGCTTGGTCTAAACTACAGTAATTCTGTGTTTCCTGTTGTGCATATAAAGGGGTGGGGGATGGGGGATATACTCTATATGGGGTAATAGCTGCTAAATGTATTTTTCTATCTGATTGTAAAAATTTTATATTTTCATTTTGTTTTGTTTTTTCAATTACAAAAATAAAAAAGGTTTCCCAAGTTCCAAAATATATGGGACATGCTAAATATATTTTCTGAAGGTTTTGTTTTGACTCAAATAACTTTAAAGATAATTTTACAAACCATATTTTTGACACATTTTTTGTACTCAGTATATACCCTGGGTCAGCGGTTCCCAGGGGAGTCCCGGTGTTCTGACGATCTGTGCTACCTCCTCAGAATGTGCAACCGGTAGCCTAATCTGTCATATTTTCTCTGAAAAAAACAGGAATAGCACATCTTGTCAGCTTCAAATATCTATCAGAAAGAACGACCTCCATAAAGAAGGGTGTAAAAACAGGGGTAGCACATTTTGTCAGCTTCAATTGTCAATCGGAATAAACTACCACTCTCATTCATTAATTTATTTTCTTGTTGGCTTAGTCCCTTTATTAATCCGTGGTCGCCACAACTTATCCAGCAAGTTTTTACGCAGCGGATGCCCTTCCAGCCGAAACCCATCTATGGGAAACATCCACACACACATTCACACACACACTCATAGACTACGGACAATTTAGCCTACCCAATTCACCTGTACCGCATGTCTTTGGACTGTGGGGGAAACCGGAGCACCCGGAGGAAACCCACACGAAGGCAGGGAGAACATGCAATCTCCACACAGAAACGCCATCTGAGCTGAGGTTCGAACCAGCGACCCAACGACCTTCTTGCTGTGAGGCGACAGCACTATCTACTGTGCTACTGCCTCACCTTGAACTACCACTCTAATAAACAAATTGAATATAAAACTAATGACAGAAAAAAATTAAGGCAGTAGTTTACTCTGATAGACATTTGAAGCTGCTATGCCTTTTTCTTCATTGTTCAATAGAGTAGTGATTTATTTCAATAAATATTTCAGCTGACAAAATGTGTTCCTCCTGTTTTTACATCCTTATTTAATATTGTAGTTCATTCTGATAGACATTTGAAGCTGACAAGATGTGCAAACTCTGTTTTTTCAGATGAAATATGACAGATTAAGCTACTGGTGGCACATTCTGAGAAGGTGGCACAGATCGCCAGAACATCGGCCCACAAGGGGGCCTCAGTAAGTTCTGACATATTAGAAAAAAAGTTTAGCAATTAGGAAAACAATCATCTTGCCTTTGTTAATTTTATCCCTTGGCTGACCAAAAAATTGACAAATTTGTAATTCGTCCTCTACAAAAAAGTCTCTGATTAGCCTTCAGCAGCTAATAGTAATGACCCAAGAATACTGGACCCAGGTGAAAAAGCTCCAAACATTTCAGCTCCCAACACTAGCAATATTGGAAACACAAAATGCAGGAAATACCAAGACAGTTACCTGAACTAACCTGACGAGGTTCTTGTTAACGAATGCATGAGGTTGTCCAAATTAATAAGACATTTGCAGATGACTCCCCGATACCCAGCACAAATGGCCTACTGATGTTTTGCTTTACATCAGGCTATTATTTGTGCATATCTAGATATAGTTATAAACATACAGTTTGTTTGTAAACACCATTTTTTTGTCATACCAACTGCAAACTGATATGAGCGATAATATCATTAAATGTGGTGGGGGGCCTTGCAATATTTTCCGGGGGAAAAAGGGTCTTTGGCAAAAAAACCACTGCCCTGGGCCAATTATTATTCTGTACTAAAAATGTGCATTGTGAAGCTCATAAAGCCTTTAGTTTCTTGTCTAAAAAGTTTAGTGTAGGTGTACTCACTAAAAGTTTAAACTTGAATGTAATTACACCTAATCTTCTTTTTTTTTAATGTACAATAAGTATACTCAAAAGTATCATGTCATTTCTACCCTCATGTCTATATATATATATATATATATATATATATATATATATGTATATATATATATATATATATATATACATACAGTATATACATTTTATTTAATACCATGTGAGCAGAGATTATTTTCATAGCAAAAATCATTATTAGATATACAATTAAAATAATACATAAATTAAATACATTTTTAACGTGAATACATGATAAAAATGTTTTTTTTTAAATCCTTGTAACACTTTGCTAAATATCTCCTTGAGTGAGTTCATAAGTCCTAAAACTGAACCTAAAATAACATACCTTGAAGATTGTTTGTACACAAATAGTTTCAGTTCACAATGACTACTATTGTATGAACAAACAAAAAAGGAAGTCAATGGGAACCAAAACTGGTTATCAACATCCTATAAATATATTTTATCTGCATTGTGAAAGAATGAAGTAATGCATTCAGGTTTGGAACAACTTAAGGGTAAATGAAATTAAATTATTTAAATTTTTGGGTGAACTTTCCGTTTTAAGGGATAGTTCACCCAAAAATAAATGTACTCAATATTTACTCTCCCTCAGGTGGTTCCAAATTGATTTGACTTTCTTTCTTTTGTTGAACACTAAAGAAGATATTTTGAGGAAAATTGCAAACCGTTTCCTTCCATGCATGGAAGAAAAAAAGAAACCCTAAAAGTTAATAGTTTTTTTAGCTTTCTTCAAAATCAATTTTTTGTTTGACAAAAAAAATGAGGTTTGGGATAAGTAAAGGGTGAGGAAATTATTACATAACTTTTTTAGGGGTGAACAAAGTGTTGTGAAAATACAGTAACTTACTGCATCTTTAATTAAAACATTTTCAAGCATCTCACCTGTTGGTGCTGCCACTCATATAACGGCCATTCACAAGAGTAAACAATACTTCTGCCAGTCTGGTTTAGTGCACTTGACATATTTATATAACCTAGAAAAAAAGTGTAACACAACAAAGCCATTTCTTAGTAAAACTCCAAAATCTATTAGGATACAGATGAGACTTGAATATCCAAGCAGATGCAGATACAAGCAAATGAGACTTGAATATTTATTTGTTCATTATTTATTGCCACATCAGCAACTTAGGGCCATTTCATGGCAAAATGGATATACATAAAATATTACATGATAAAACAAATTCGTATTACAGTAAAATATTACATGGACAAATATATAGGATAGAAATAAATTAAATTCACACAAAAATATATTCAAAGTTAAATATGATTTTTCAGTTCAATTTTTGAAAAATAATTTCAGATTCTTCCTGGTGGTACCTTTTTAAAAATGTTGATGAGACTTGAATATCCACTCACCTTCTCCCAGCTGATGCCAGTCAGGCATGAAACACCCGTCAAATTTTAACAGATCCACACCCCAGTCCGCAAAGGTTTTTGCATCGATGTCATAATAGCCCAAACTCCCAGGGTAACCTGCGCAAGTTTTTGTGCCCACATCTGCATATATTCCCAGCTTCAGTCCTTTAGAATGGACCTGAGAAGACAACACTTTAATATTACTTCAGCTTACAAATGATAACATTCAAGTCAGAATTACTTTGATTGTGATATCAGCAAAACAACACTAGGGGGGGATGTGTACCTGACTTTAAGCTTTAGATTGATAAAGTTACGGCCTTTTGCTTTTTACATGGAGTAAAAATATTTTTTAAAAATCATTTTGAAACATTTTTTTATTGTAATTACCTAATGGAATTTTAATAATTGTCCTTTCAGTTTACATTTATGTGGACATGAAGACACTTCAAGGGATAAAACTGACTTTTATCTATAGTAGTTATGTTTGTTTCCTGCCAATGAACACACAAAAATTATTAATGTTATTATTATTATATAAAGTAACTCATATCTACAGGCAGCACGGTGACACGATGACTTCTGAAATAAAAACTAAGCTGAATGAAAATTAATGATTTAATACATATCTGATATATTAATTTATAGTAATTACATTATTACTACAATTGCTGAAATTAATATTTAAGGAAAAAATGAGAAGACCACTTGAAAATTGGAGTTATTTGATTTGATTGATTTTTGATAAAATAATTTTAATCTGTAAACTACTTATGGCATTTAATCCAAGTTATTTGCATTAAATAACACTAATAATAAACATATTTATAAAAATTATTACACAATATTAATGTTTTACAATATTTAACAGAACCGATATTTGGTGGGATATCAGTCAATTAAAAACAATGATTTTTTTTTTTTATTCTGACCAGTTGTCAAAAAAGCTCTAAATGACAATGTTTTATTTGAAATTTGTAAGAAATGTTATCAGTGGTTTACACTGAAAAAATGCTTCTCACTTAGAATTTTTGACTGGTTTCTAATCTAAATATCTAAAAATCCTTAAATCAAGAAGCATTTTCTAGACAAGAAAAAATACTGTCTTGTTTTAAGAAATAATATACCAAAATGAAGTGAGTTTTTTCCTTAAAACAACCAAAATAATCTGCCATAGGGGTAAGCAAAATAATCTTATGAGGATATTGTGCTAACCCCGTTGGCAGATTATTTTACTTGTTAAAAAAGAAAAACTCTGACATCTTGATAAAATGACTTCTTAAAACAAGGCAATATGTTTTGCCTGTCAAGAAAATGCTTCTTGATTTAAGAATTTTAAGACATTTTTTACTTGTAACAAGTCATAAAATTAAGTGAGAAAAGCATTTTTTGCAGTGAATGGAATATACATATTTTTAAAAACATTTGACTAAAAAGTCCACACTTAAAAATAAAAAAGTCAAGTATTTTTAAAGGTCCATGAAATTAAGATCAGTCTGTTAGTTTTAAGTTTATTAGCTTGTGTGCTACAAAAAAGTGACAAAATTCATATTTAGAAAATATAAACATCCAAAGCTTGAAATTTGTCATTTCTGCCTAAATGGATCAACGATTTTTTGTCAAGTCAGCAGTTTCTCTTTAAATCTTGACCAATCAAATGCTCTCTAGTATCTGACATGCCCCGCCACCCTCAAGAAGCTTTCATTTGCTTTTCATTTGAAATCAGTCTCACTGGCAGAGCTGTGATAAATGCAAAATGCTATTGGCTGTTCTTTTAAAGGGGAGGAGCTAATTCATATCCCACCCTCTCTTAATTTTTCAGTTGAGATTTCATCAAACATCAAATAGAAAACTGCACATTTCAAAGCACTTCAAGTGACATTTAAGTAGTCTCTAATATTTGTTAGATAATTTATTTTATAACATTTAATTTATTATATAGGTCAGGTTACATAACATTTATTCATTATATAGGTTGAGAGTAACATGACAGCTTTGTTTTGATAATACATTAAATACTGTATTTTGTACTGAATTTTGTTAGGTTTAAGTGAGATGAGGGCAAGTCAATGATGACATGATCATCCTTTCCCATTCTACATATGCTCCAGACCCATGCAACCTCTTCCAGCCTCATACTCACATAATCTGCCAGTTTTTTGATGCCACTGGGAAACCTTTTGGGGTCTGCCTGCAGGCGCCCCTGTGCGTCCCTTTGTTGCGAAGGCCAGCAATCATCAATGCACACAAACTCATATCCAGCATCCTTCCATCCCTCCTTCACCATCACATCTGCCATCTGCATGAAGAGCTCCTCTCTGCCAGCACACAAAGACATGAGAAGGAGGACATCATGGCCCAACATCTGCATGTTCAAATCTGCATCTGCTCTAAAAAAGATTTTAAGTACCCAGGAATGGCATTTGCCCTCAAGAGCAGGATGCAAGAGCTTAAATAATAAGGAAATCATACATCACATGCTTTAGTAGCAGTGTGACATTCATGTGACAGCAGTTTCCAGGTATACGGCTCTCCACTTTCTCTATCGTTAACATTTTATGTATGAAATAATCAAGTCTAGTTTTATTGCCCTGCATTTGAGGACATACAGTAGAATGAAATATTATGGTCTCGCAGGATCATAATTAAACAAATATAAGCATACAGCAATAGAACATAACATACAAATAAAAAAATGTAAACCTATACACACATCTGAGAACTTATCTAACTGCGAATACTGTTAAAAATCAGTATTGTGTTACTATAAATTGGTTCTCTTGGAAATGTGACTCCATCAAATACCAAGCTTTTTGATTCATATCTATACAACTTTCATGAAAAGCATTTAAAAAAAGGCGGCACTTCATTAATATTCTGGTGACTAGAATTAACAATATTCATTTATTAATTTTCTTTTCAGCTTAGTCCCTTTATTAATCAGGGGTCGCCACAGTGGAATTAACCGCCAGCTTTTCCAGCACATGTTTTACGCAGCAGATGCCCTTCCAGCTGCAACCCATCACTGGGAAACACCCATACACTCCCAATTCACCTATAGCGCATGTCTTTGGACTTGTGGGGGAAACCGGAGCACCCGGAGGAAACCCACACGAACACGGTGAGAACATTGCAAACTCCACCCACCCGAGGCTCGAACCATTGACCTTCTTGCTGTAAGGCGATCATGCTATCCACTGTGCCACTGTGACGCCCTAATTAACAATATATCAACTACAGTCGTGGCCAAAAGTTTTGAGAATGACACAAATATTAGTTTTCACAAAGTTTGCTGCTAAACTGCTTTTAGATCTTTGTTTCAGTTGTTTTTATGATGTACTGACATATAATTACAAGCAATTCATATGTTTCAAAGGCTTTTATCAACAATTACATGACATTTATGGAAAGAGTCAGTATTTGCAGTGTTGGCCCTTCTTTTTCAGGATCTCTGCAATTCGACTGGACATGCTCTCAATCAACTTCTGGGCCAAATCCTGACTGATAGCAATCCATTCTTTCATAATCAGTTCTTGGAGTTTGTCAGAATTAGTGGGTTTTTGATAGTTCATCTGCCTCTTGAGGATTGACCACAAATTCTCAATGGGATTAAGATCTGGGGAGTTTCCAGGCCATGGACCCCAAATTTCAACGTTTTGGTCCCGAGCCACTTAGATATCACTTTTGCCTTATGACACGGTGCTCCATCACGGCTCCATCATGCCGGAAAATGCATTGTTCTTAACCAAACTGTTGTTGGATTGTTGGAAGAAGTTGCTGTTGGAGGGTGTTTTGGTACCATTCTTTATTTATGGCTGTGTTTTTGGGCAAAATTGTGAGTGAGCCTACTCCCTTGCATGAGAAGCAACCCCACACAAGTATTGATAGACTGCATAGGAAATTGATAGACTGCATAGGAAAAAACTGGGAGTACTATTTACTTGAAGCTGTTCCAACCTTGTTTGAGTTGCTTTTTTTAATGCTTTTTTTATGCTTTTAATAAACACAAATCCTGGCCAAATCTGCCCACTGGCCTTTGTCCATCATGGCCTCCTAACCTTCCCCATATCATAATTGGCTTCATCACTCTGTGTCCTCTCCACCAATCAGCTGGTGTGTGGTGTGCAGCCTGGCGCAAAATGGCTGCCGTCTCGTCATCCAGGTGGATGCTGCACACTGGTGGTGGATGAAGAGACCCCCCACCCCATTGTGTAAAGCGCTTTGAGTGCCCAGAAAAGCGCTATATAAATGTAAGGAATTATTATTATTATTACAAAAGAACATATTTTTGGCAACCAATATCTGCTTTCCTGATAGAGAACAAAAACACTTTGGAAGTAAATAGAGACCAACGGTTATCGACATTCTTGAATATATCTTCACCATGACTCAGACTCACACAGACTTGGAACAAGTAGAATTTTCATCTTAATATCAGCTAACTAGGCATGGGACGATAAGCGTTTTCAAGGTATACCACGGTTTGGAAAATTCAAGGTTTTAAAACCGCCAAAAGTTTCTGTAATACCGTTCCTAATAAGTAGGATTTTTTTTATTAACATTTTTTGTTTTGTTTTTTAGGACAACAGTATTTCCAACAAAAAAAAAATATCCACAGAGAAATCTGTGTTTTTAAAACAACGTATAAACCTGTAATAGGCTACAGACATTTTGTGACCCATACACTTTAGACAAAATATACATAGGCTTTCTTATGGTGTCCTGTGATAAGCATTTGGAGTGTAGTAACAGGTGTCCTGGCATTATCCTACCCATCAGATTATGTTACCAACACTATATTTGAATGGTTCTGAGGTTGGGGTTTGGGATTGGGGTAGGTTAGGGCGATATTACAGCTTCATATCACACAACTCCACATTAAAATTGACACTGGTAGCTAGCAAAATCTGATGGGTTGCGTATTGCGGCGAGGTTACACAGACATATTCATTCATTCATTTTCTTTTCGGTTTAGTCCCTTTATTAATCTGAGGTCGCCACAGTGGAATGAACCGCCAACTCATCCAGCATATGCTTTACGCAGCAGATACCCTTTCCAGCAACCCAATTCGCCTACAGTAAATCACATGTCTTTGGACTGTGGGGGAAACCCACCCGGAGCACACGGAGTAAACCCACGCGAACACGGGGAGAACATGCAAACAAGCTCACCTAATGCAGTTTTGAGGATCCGCATCACAGTCTGTGTTGCACATGAATCTCTCCCAGTGCAGCCAGCCCATGGTGGGAGTTAAAGCCAGGCCGTTGTCTAGCGCCGCGGCTGGGACTAATAAACATACAAGTCCGATAACGACTATAATTGAGGCACGCATGTCGGTTTGTGAAGATGAATGACTGAATATGATATGAATGTAACAGGTTGTTTTACTTCCGTGTTTACAGCGTCAGTCAGGTGCAAGCGTGCGCGCACGTCAAGTCGTGACGTCACACGCGCGCTCCCCTTAAAATGCATCCTAATTCAATTCATGTTTATTTCTTTGCGCTTTTACGATGTACATTGAGTCAAAGCCGCTTAACATAGAAGTTCTAGTAAGTTGAAACTGTGTCAGTCCAGGTTTCAGAGTTGAAGTTCTGTTTAGTTCAGTTCAGTGTGGTTTAATTTTCACTGCTGAAAGTCCAAACACTGAAGAGCAAATTCAACGATGCGAAGTCCCAAACCAAGTAAGCAGTGGCGACAGAGGCGAGGAACAAACTTCACCAATTGACGAAAGGGAAGAAAAAAAACGTATGTATGTTTGATTTCTTGGATTTTTAATGGGTTTTGGAGAACCTATTTATACACATGTGCAATATATTTGCCAGAGTGTTAATCAGTCACTCAGACACTTGTCTTTATTAAACTGTTTTTATTTGTGTGTTTCATTTATTTATATGACCCTAATGGGTATATGCACACAGACTTTTAATTTCAGTCAGCCAGCCCCAGGGCTTCCGGTTAATTATCATCCCATACAAAATTTGTTAAATTGTCATCCCATACAAGATCTTCACTACCTGACTAAGATACGATATGAAGTGGGTATCAGACCAAACAACAAGCACTGCATTAAATTATATGTTTCTGTGCCATGTCTTTAAAGTCTGGAAATAATATTACCCCAGTATTTTCAATAGAATTTCTGCGCTAGCCTGCTGCTAATGATGGCGCCTGCTTTTAATCCGTCTTTCATCTTATTTTACGCTTTATTAACCTAAGGGATGCTTAAGTCTGTTAGACTGATTATATTTGAATTACATTACAACATTGATGCTGTAAAAGGATACCTTATAAAATTGAAAATAGTCACATTAAGCTTTCACTGGAAGTTCATCATTGGCCGAAAAACACTAGCTGTGCATATGTCCCATTTACTACATATTGAGTTTTTTTTTAGAAATTTACTAGACACAAACTGTAAATTAATGTCAAGTAGCCTACGATAGTAGTGTCAAGTATTAACCTGTACTTAATAATATTGCTAAAACAATCAAGTTAATGTTTTTGTGGTAATTATTTCCCCCTTATTGTAGGTAGGCCTACCATGTTGTTCCAGTAGAGGTACATTGGCGAGTAAGGTCAGTCATGTTTTTAATGTTTTAAATCAAATTAAAGGAGAACTTTCTTTTAAAAGACATTTTCTTTTGCATTGTATGTAGACTTGGTACTTGGAACACTTTTTTTTGAGAGTTTAACAATTGTTAATGACATTTTAAACATAAAAGATCATAGGTCTGAGTGCATTGTACTGCGGATGTTCACGTATGTTTATGCTAACTCCATGTGGCTCATTTGTAATTGGTTAAGATGAAGATGTTACAACCCCAGGCCCGTATGCAGCCTGGTGAAAGGGGTGGTTCTTTTCTTCTCCAAAAGTGGACCTAGAATTTAAATATGAGATTTAAATACTGCATTTTTGGGATATTTTAAGCACTATTTTTTGCTGGATTAGTTTGTTAGATGGTCATTATAACCACACTTTTTGATGTACCAAAAATATTTCCTAAAGATTTAGAATAAAGAAATTCATAATTTTTTAAATAAAATTTTATTGCATCATATATTGTTAGAAAAATAGGAATCTGTTCAGAAATCTGTAAATTAAAAATTGTAACCTACTGTCATTTGCAAAAAACAAACTAGCCAGCGCATCCACATGTCCTCAGTCAGAATTTGGCCATTTGAATAAAAAACAAAACAAAAACATAAAAATTATAATCATGGATAACAACAATAGCCTAATTAGCTTGCAAATTTATTTTCATTTGGGCTTTTTGGTCCTCGCACTCTTTTATTGGCTGTTTAATGTTTCATGAAAGAGGACCAAGATTTAGAATAAATGTTACTTCAACAGCAGTTTTCAACAACAGTACAGAAGGTCAGTAGCGAAAAATAACTTTGCGTATTTCAGATTGTATTTTGGCTCATGAAAAACAATTGCTTGCGTTGGTCAAATCTGATTAGCTAAAGTCACGACAGCCAACAGAGGATTCCGCTTGGTCTTAAAGCCTTTTTCGATGGGTTATTTTCAGAATTTATGATGGCATAGCAGTCAAAGTAGGACAAATGAGCTAATGTATAGGACAAATTCTGGACCTTTGTCAGTGAGGGGTGGGTCTTTCGAACTGCCCGAACCCCCCTTGGCTACAGGCCTGAACCCTATGTTCTGCACCAGCTATTTCTTTTCAGTCATAGTCTACAGTCTACAAAATATAGATCGGAATGCTATTCATCTCAGATTCATTCAGTCTTACATTTTAGGCCTTACACTTCCTGGGTGCATTGAAAAGATTGTCAGAAAGACAAAATTGACTGTTATCATTGTATAACAGCAACAGCAGAAGGGGGTGTTTGCTGAACACTCTTCATTTTTGCTAATTTATTTCCTTACTATTGATTTACTTGGATTGATCCACTGTAAACAACACGGAGGACAAGAAAAAATTCTTGCAAAAGCACTTGGCAGAGCATATTTGCAGGATTTATCACACAATCCATAATCCTCCATTACTGAAACATGAAATTCTGCATTTCCTTGCTGTCCGTGCTTTAAAAAATGACTATTAATGGGAAACAAACTCTGACCTTTTGCTAAATGTCAAGAGTTTTGGCTAACCCTAAATGTTGTACCAAGGGTGGCAGGCATGATAAAAACAAATTTTCACTTGCAGTAATTTCTATCAAAGCCAAAGCAGCGGTGCAGGGGCTTCCAAATGTCAGAGTTCAAATTTTCTTGTCTCGCTTGATGGATGGACCAGTCAGTGGGTCTGGTAACAAAACTGGTTTCAGCAGCGTGACAGGATCTGGCTCTGCAGCAGTGATAGATTCTCCAATTTTTTTGATGTTTGTTTCATTGCAGGGAAGGAACTGGCTATCTCCACCTCAGATGTGTTTTTCAAAGGATAGATTGTGGAGGCCGACAGCCCACTCATTTCTCCCTGGGGCCCAAATGCCTATCCATCACTTTCCATTTTGCCACTGCCATTTAATTGAACGGGTTGTCACCTCTGGCATATGTATAGACATGTTATGATAAAACCGATAAAAATGGAAAGGAGGCAGGGAAAACAGGAGGAATAGGTTGGGGGGCTCCCAGTGAGTCTGTTGGTTTTTAACATACAGTATTTAAAGGCCTGTTTAAAGCTATAGAGCGATAATAATATAGATATATAATGATAACTATGTTTACATCCACACCAGCAAACAATAACAATATATTTATTGTAACCCTGTGCGTTTAAGTTAAAAAAGTAGCGCTGGATATGAGGAACATTTATAAATATGCATCATCTTTCATTTCATAGATACACTCAGCGGCCACTTTATTAGGTACACCTGTCCAACTGTTGGTTAACGCAAGTTTCTAATCAGCTAATCACATGGCAGCAACTCAATGCATTTAGGCATGTAGACATGGTCAAGACGATCTGCTGCAGTTCAAACCGAGCATCAGAATGGGGAAGAAAGGTTATTTAAGTGACTTTGAATGTGGCATGGTTGTTGGGGCCAGACAGGCTGGTCTAATTATTTCAGAAACTGCTGATCTTTTGGGATTTTCACACACAACCATCTCTAGGGTTTAGAGAAAATGATCTGAAAAAGATAAAATATCCAGTGAGCGCAGTTCTGTGGCCGCAAATGTCTTGTTTAGGGGTGGCCAACCCTGTTCCTGGAGAGCCATCTTCCTGCAGATTTCAGTTGGAACCCATATCAAACAAACCTGCCTGTAATTATCACATGGTGTTCAGGTCCTAATTCATTGTTTCAGGTGTGTTTGATATGGATAGCAACTGAAATCTGCAGGAAGGTGGCTCTCCAGGAACAGGGTTGGCCACCACTGGTCTTGTTGATGCCAGAAGTTGGAAAAGAACGGCCAAACTGGTTCGAGCTAATAGAAAGGCAACAGTAACTTAAATAACCACTCGTTACAATCGAGGTTTGAAGAAGAACATCTCTGAATGCACAACACATCCAACCTTGAGGCAGATGGGCTACAGCAGCAGAAGGCCTTACCGGGTGCCATTTCTTTCAGCTAAGAACAGGAAACTGAGGCTACAATTCACACAGGCTCACCAAAATTGGACAATAGAAGATTGGAAAAATGTTGCCTGGTCTGACGAGTCTCGATTTCTGCTGCGACATTCAGATGGTCGGGTCAGAATTTGGTTTCAACAACATGAAAGCATGGATACATTCTGTCTTATGTTAACGATTCAGGCTGCTGCTGGTGGTTGTGTAATAATGTGGGGGATGTTTTCTTAGCACACTTTGGGCCTATTAGTACCAATTGAGCATCGTGTGAATGCCTCAGCCTACCTGAGTTTGGTTTCGTGAGCACAACGAGTTCACTGTACTCAAATGACCTCCACAGTCACCAGATCTCAGTCCAATAAAGCACCTTTGTGATGTGGTGAAACTCAAATACTCATCATGAATGTGCAGCCGACAAATCTGCAGAAACTGTGTGATGCTATCAAGCCAATATGGACCAAAATCCCTGAGATATAATTCCAGTACCTTGTTGAATCTATACCACGATGGATTAAGGCAGTGCTGAAGGCAAAAGTGGGTCTAACTCGATTTTAGTAAGGTGTACCTAATAAAGTAGCCGGTGACCGTTTGTTTTCCATATATTCATGGTTTTTAATGCATATCTGAACATATGTGCATTGAGCCTTATGGTCAGTGTGTTTTTGTAATTTCAGTCACATGTGACCACATCTACTGCTAATTACAGGGGTAGATGTAGACATACACAGACATTGTAACTGTTGGACACTGGACAATAGAGTTCAGGATCCACGTGCAGTTTATTGAAAGCTTAGTCAGGCAGGCAATGGACAACAGGAACAAACAGAAGCATGAGCATAATCCAAAAGTGTAGTCAGATCATATAGGCAAATGTTC